GTACCTATGTTACCCAGTATCTACGTTCCTTTGTACCTATGTTACCCAGTACCTATGAATCTCTGAACACGTTACCTGAACCTACGTATTTTGCCCCGGTACAATACATGCACTGCAATTCTGATTTTTAAAAAAATTTTTTTTGTTTAAAAAAAATCTGAAAGGGCAGCCAAGCAGCTTTGATGACTTCTATTATTAACCCAGGGAGAATCGGGAGGCTGTTTAGGAATGTCTGAAAAACAAAACAAAACAAAAAAAGCTAATATATTAGACAACAGAGATATGATGTACTAGCAAGATAAACAAGAGAAGCTGTTGATCAGATCACTGGCTGTACAATGCCCTGAGATGATGTATGCTGTGACTTGGCACTATATAAACGAACTGACTTGAATTGAATYATTTGAGACTATGACCATTAAAAGCTTCACAGTCAAATAGTGATTTCAGTTGACATTTAAACCGTGCTGAAAACAACCAAGTAACTGAGAGTTATGGCATTTCATCTAGTGAAAATACCACTCCATAGATCATAATCATCATCATTTAGCTTGCCCTTTTCCCYGTTCTACTTCCACATTTAAAGCTCTTAGTAACACAAACACAAACAGCCACTGCTGTGGTGACAAATCGCCCAAATAACACCCTATAAAGCCTAAAATCTTCCAAGGCAACCTGATGTCATAGTAACAACTACAGCAAACAATAATGTTTAAGTTTTTTTATCAGTTGGACTCGTTCTTTGACTTTATTTATTTGGGCAACCTTTCAGCTGTGAACATTTTAGAGCTCTTTTATCCCAACTTGTCTAACATCAGGAGGAATACTGGACTTTCTGCTTCTGTCCAAAACGGATAACTGTTATTTATATAGTAGTTTAAAGCATACCAACACAAACAGTCTTGTCACCAGTGATCAGTGATGTTAAATATAACCAGGTCTGGAAAATAAAGCCTTCAGAAGATACTAATTGAATATGCTATACCAGATGTCTACTTTGTTGTTGTTCTGGTACCTTGAAAAAAAAGAGACAGACGTCCATATTAGATCCAGACTCATTTAGCCATTCTGCGATAAGCCAGTGCTAATTAAGATGTTTAATTTGTGCTTGCATGAAAAGAGCTTTGAAGATGATTAAAGAGAAAGTGGTCGTGTGCAGCCCTCCCCTGCTCTGTCATGCCTGAAGTCAAAAACTACATAAAAACTGAGCCCATCCCCCAGTACTGTAACTCTTCTTCTGATCCTGTGGGTGGCTGTGAACAGATTTTACTGTACTCTCCTCCACAGCATTCTCCACAGCCGGGGCTCTTGTAAGAAAAAACAAAAACGTATGCTGTACCATGTTGAATGTCTCAGATCCTGTAAAATTTACACATTTCAAAACCCAACATGTACAACAAATTGACTAACGTGTGTTAAAGACTTAAAATATTCTTTTGTCCCTCGCTTTTTATTTCTACAGTGATGAAATCGTGTAGTAGGTAAATTTCTCATTGCTGCCCACCAGTAGAGCAGAACGTAAACAAGGTTCCCTTTTATGCTCGCCAAGAAAAACATTGGATAACGATAAGAAAAAGAAAACAACTCCTGGCCTCACAAATGTAACCTTCAGGAGAAGAAATGATTACGTTGGCAAAAAGATCTTGATGCAACGTATAGTTTGTATTGTGCATTCGGATATTTAGCCCATAAATCCATATGACTGAACTGGCTAAAGGCTGATTTATACTTGGTGAGACATCAAGAAATTTGTGCTCATTGACGTAGCCGTGTGGTGAAAATTACACAATTTTTTTCTCACATGAACTCATAAAATCTGCTCTGTACACAAACACCTGGCAGAACTTTATTTCTAGCAGAGATATGCGCCAAATGTTGTTGATTGGTCAGAACCTTATTGTGGGCGTTGATGCACCCGCTTCGGATGTTATCAGTCCATTGAATGGACGTTATCAGCGGTTATCAGTCCCATAGAATGGCTTCAGACTGTCCYRACTRTGCCSYCTAGYAGGTTATCAGTCCCATAGAATGGCTTCAGACTGTCAGCTGGTTATGAGGCATAAAGCCACTAAGGTTAATTTTAGAGAAAATGACCTGGGCTAGGTTTAAGTARACCGGAGTCCGGCAGATTGCTGCCTTCCAATGTATTAGTAGGTAAACAATCTGAAGCCATTCTATGGGACTGATAACCGCTGATAACATCCATTTAATGGACTTATAACATCTGAACCGGCTGGTTGATGTGTAAAAGCTGCTGCAGTACACTGCTGCTTCAACTGCTCCTCTGAGGAGCAGCTTTCCAAGACTTTCAGAAAATACAGCCATCTTTACAACTGTTCCAACAAAACTTATAAAGATGTTCAAAGACCTCATGGAAGTAGATCTGAGCAGASAGCGCCAATACACAAGTATGCCTCAATCGAGCGTAGTGACGCGTTGACTTATTATTTTGAACCGACTTTTGGAAACTGGTCTGTTCATGCCAAGTCTGAAAATGTTGTCATTTTTTGTACTAATTTTATATTTTCAATGTGGTGGTGTTCCTGTGTGATGTATGCATTACTTAAGGGTTTCCCCGTGAGTTCTCTGATGCAATGTCTGAGTATAATTCGTATAAAAAGTCCTTGTGAAAAATAACTTTTCAGGAGATATCTTGCCTCTTGTTGAGTTTAAACCAACCTTAATTGAGGAGGGATTGTGGTGCTCAGAGTTATAAATGTTACAGTAGCAGTGAGCTCAGCACACACGGCCCGAAGCCTCTTCTGACATTACGTGTGACATCATTTCTCCGCCGTTACTAAGCAACAAGCACACATCCCGAATGCATTCATAAGGTTTTTTTAATTTGTCATCCTCAACTCTCTGTTCCTGTAAAACTTTCCCTTGTCAGCTGCTCCAACAAAGAAAAGAAAATATTACATTTACTAAGATGTGAATATGCTGTCCAAGAGGTAACTTTATTTTCACACTAATTCAATCTTTTTTTAATCTAAATTTAGCAATAGGGATGCAAGTTATCGATTAATTGATTAATCTAAAGTTGATTGATCTTATCGATCGACTAATATTTTAAGATAAAGATTAACTCAAAAACAAACTATAAACATAATAAAATATCCCTGAAAGACGTGAAAGTACAAATGARTACTGGAACTGTTTTACAWTCCCTGTGGTTCTATCTGGGCTAATCTAATGTCAGCTACTGTTCATTTGATTGGTTTAATGGCCAGGTTATGCCACACAGATTAACTTCACGTTAATTATTTGTAGCGACTGTAACTTTATTTGTTTTTGTTGTTTCACACAAGTTAAACTCAACAAGAAGAAGCTAACGTTAGCCACAGTTAGCTTACCGTTCTGTCGTCTTGCTCTCCTGCCTTTAGCGTCATACAGCTGGATGGTCCGGTACAGCTTTCAGTTTTCCTTCGAGTTTGGTTTAGTCCATTATTATTGTTGTGTCGCAAAATAAACAAGATTTGTGAGTTTAATTACGACGACGCGGCTCTCTGCTCAGCTCAACAGGGCCGGTTTTAGAGTAAGACCAGGCTGAAAGCAGCATCGCCCTCTACTAGATGAAGGCAAAACTACACTGAAATTAATCGAACGGAAGAAATTTTAATCTAATAAACCATTATTCGAGAATTAATTGTAAGTCGATTAATTGTTTGCTTCCCTATTTAGCAACAAGGGAGTTTTTCTTCAGGTATCATTAAAGTTAAGTTTGATTGATCCACTGACAGTATTTTAATAAAATAGAATAATTGAATTAAAGCAATCAAATAATTTTGAGCCTTGAAATATTTTGTACACAAAAGCRTATAATAAATGACTAWAAGTCARGTCTAGATGTGCAGAACAGAAGATGTAAAATCCACTGAATCAATGTGAACTTCTTGAGCACACCTTTATTTTTGCCTCTCCGTGCTTGTTTGAACGTGTTATTGATGAACGAWAAGCTTCACAGTTCAGATGCTGTCRTGCAAAATAAACTTCTTCATGTCATTCAATAAGAATGCAGCGCTGTGAATGAATGAAATMTTTTTTATACCCCTGTGTTCCTCTTTACACAAGTTTTATTACACTGCATACAATGGAAAACCAATAATTTAACCATAGAAAGGATGGTCTGAGTAGTTGAAACACTTTGTGAATGTGCCAAAGATTTATTTCATTCCAGATGTCAAACAATATTGAGGTCAGAGCTTATTACTGGGCTACACATCACCAAAGTCTGAATCACTGCAGCCTGAGGAAACTGACGAGCTGCATTCTGTCCTTTTTTTGTTCTGACGGACAGCTCCGTCTGAATCAAAATCAGACGAGAAAGAAGAGTAAGTTTCAAAAAACTTGTGCAAGCTGCTCCGATTGTGAGTTTTCTGCTGTCAGAGATGATTGACTTAGTGCTAAAATATAGAAATTAAATCTTTTGAACTCTATTTTTTAAAACATAGGCTTTAAAATTCATTGTCAGAAGAGTTCGTCTGCACATTATGTTTCCACAACCACATATCTGACATAATTTATCATCTTTTTTTGGCCATTTTCTAACCTAAATCTATGGGTTCAATACAGTTCTGTATTACACAACCTGAGATAGGTTCGGATCAAGTACCAGTGGTGGGCTCAACTAAACAAAAAGTTAGCTTTGCTAACTACTAATCCGTAGGCCTGTCACAGTAAACAACAAATCAATTAATCGGATGATAAATTACATTGAGGAAGATAAATTTTAAATAAAGACAATTTTCATTTGCCTGCTTTAGTGTTTTCTTCATGTCTCCCTCTTCTTTACTTCTTAGCRTAGAGAGCAGTGAACTCAGGTGCCAGGTGTTTGCCAGGTGATGGTCTCTAACCTCTGTAGCATGAGAGCCTGTGAACAGGCATTTAGCCAGAGGAGCGTCTTCAGTTTTCTGACACCTTCATACAGCTGGTGACGCCTTGGGATTGCCAACAGTTGTTTTTTCCTTTTAMACTATGTTAATTTTAAAGTAAACTTCTCTAAACAGGGGTTGTTATATGATTATATTAGTTAAAACTGGTCTCCWACAATATTATCGTTTATCGCAATAATTTCTGAGACARTTTATCGTTCAGTAAAATGTGTTATYGTGACAGGCCTACTAATCCACTTACTAAAAAATTTGCTACCTAAATGCCAAACCAATAAACAGGAAAATTACAGAAAGCTAATGCTAACTAATAACCACTGATTAGAATAAAGTGAACCACTGATTAATCCACTGGGATAAAACCAAATAAACTGAGCTACATCTCCCGGATGTAAAAGCCTGAACAGATTTATTCAGGAGCATATAATTACCTAACAGGTTTCACTCTGCGGAGTAATGTTGGTGACTTTCTTACTTGACTTTGCTGAAGACGATGTCCACGTCAGTCAGGGTGATACTCTTGCCGTCAATCACGCCGCAGTCTTTGCAGAGCTTGGACCAGTTTTTGCCGTGCATGTCCTTGCCGGTAGCACGAGTGTCGCCGTGGATGGCGAAGCGTCGGAAGGATTCTTCCAAAGCGGTCAGTTCCACCGGCGTGGACGAGCCCACGCCTCCGTCGCTGGTGCCGTTAGACTCGGTGGAAAGCCTTTTGGAGGCTCGGTCTTTGGACTGTTCGGTATGTGGCCGTAAAGGGGCTGAGCTGTGGTTTGGGTGCTTGGCTGTCTGCACTTTGAAGTCATCTATGTTGTCTCTGGGGAAGAACATTAATCAAAAGATTTTTTTTGTCAGTTATTTTTTCAGTTGCTGTAACTTAATGTGCCTCTATTAAACCCACTTTTAATGTCAGATCCATGACTATTATTTTATATATTAATTATATTTAAAATTTCTATGAAAGAAAAAAAAAACAAAAGTCACAACCCACAACTGGAAGACCAGAAAACAAAGAGTTTTTAGAATAAGTGTATCTGATCTAATACTTTGTCTTACAAGATCTGATTATGCTGAAATCAGTGAATCATTTGTTCATGTCGAGATAGAACTTGCTTGTGAGATATCATCAATGTTCACCAACGAGAAATATTAGAGGTGCTTTGATGCTTAAATGAGTAGATCATGTATCCTGACATAAAGGTGAAGGGTTATAAATCCAAAGGCGAGAAAACAGATGTGAATTTAATGACATAAAATGTGAATTTGAAGTAAAACTTACTTGTGGTCTGCCATGGCTGAGCAGGAATTTGTTTCTCTTTGTGAAGTACTCRGACTGGCTGACTTTTGTTTTCTCTTTGTGCTGCAGAAAAGATGAAAGTGAAGGTAAAAAAGTGGCCGCTTGAGTAACAACTAAAGATGAAAGTGGCAAAAAAAAGAAGGAAATGAGATAAGAGTCAAATTTAGAGAAACAACAAAGCGTCACTTCAAAAACACCAAGTCTTCATGAGTAGTGCWGATAAAATGCAAGATGTTTCATCATTTTCAAAAAAATAATTGCAACTTTATTATTTTCTATCAGTAATAATTTATTAGCATCTTTTACTGCCACATTTTTTGCTACAATCTGAAATATTTTAGCCATGTATTTTTTTTAAATCATTGTACACGGGGGGCATCAGCCCCCTTGGCCTGGCACTTTTGCTTGGTGTGCATTTTTGTGCTCCTTTATCTATATAGGATTATTAGAACCTTAAAAACAAAAAATCAAAAATATTTTTGAGCAACCATGAGTTAAAAATACATATAGTATAAACATATTTTATTTACAATAAAAAATGCAACTCTAATTTTTGTCCCCCTAAATAAAGAAAACCCATCTGAAACCATAGTCCTCAACATTGGGAAGCAAGGTCTTGAGCGGTTAATTACTGTTTATTTATTTATTTATTTATTTATTTTAATAAATATAAATTTAAAAGGTAGGTGTAGTGGCAGAGCTTTACTGAATGAGTAATATCAACTGTAAATAAAAATTAAATTAAGTAGATTTATGTACAGTGTTGGGCATAGATGAGCTTCACCAACTCAATGCGCTAACTAAAAATATAGTAAACGCTAACTCAAAAGAAACAAAAATCATTTAGCTAAAGCTAATGCTAACAGCTAATTGCTAATATGACTATCGCTCAGTCTGTGTCACATATCTTTGTTTCCCTCAAGCTGAAGTCTGGTGAGACTGACACAAACCTGCTGATGTTAATTTGTTAGCTGTTAGCACACCTAAMGTTTGCAAAACCTTATTTAGCGGAAGCTTATTTATCCGCTAATGATTTTCAAAATTTATGATAAATCAAATTCACTAATCGAAAAATTATATCCTCTGTTAGCTGTTAGCGGAACGATGCCCACCACTGCCTATGTCTATGTATATCAGAAGGTGATTTCCTAACTCCTATATTGCTGTATTTGTCAAATAACCTATATATAACAATATGACAAAACTACTGAAATTATTTCATTTATTTTGGTTTKGGTGCCACCCCATGATTTTCTGTGGCCCCCGCATGCTCACCCCTTAAGACACCTCTGATTTTACACTCTTAAGTTCAGCTCTTCCAGAAATAGGACAGGTAACTGCTACATTATAGCAGAAGAAGATGAAAATAGTGGAAAATAATGATGCAAAATAAGTTTAAGGACTCTACTCACCTCATTTAATAAAAAAGGGGAAAAAAAGCTGTAGCAAACATTAGACAACAACCCAGGCTGCTGTTGGATAATATTTGTGACAGGCTTATTCACAGATTAATTATCATCTATGAACAGAATTACTGACGTAATAATACCTAATCCAGACTGAGACACGCATGAATAAAATCCCCCAGAATGGAGAGAATAATACCAACAGCTTCAGTGGAAAGCTAATTAAAAGCCCAGTCGTAACGTTCTGCTAGCAGCTGCTCAGTGTGATTTGTTGTCACACATCATTCTCTTTATCTTTGTGCTCTGATTTAATTTCTTGCTTTGGATGACTTCATCCAGTCAGAGCTCAGGGATTCCTCTCCACACATCCTGATCTGCATCTTCTGTAGATATAAACAGCAACAGTCTCACTCCTCCTCAAGCCAGCTTTAAATAATCCTCCCGGACGGCAATAACAGTCACTTTTCTGTTTCTGTAGAGATAAAGTAATCCATCTGCGGTGTAAGTGTAGCAAATGTAACTTTAACAAAGCAACATTTAATGGATTTCTGCTCACCTTACAGCTGTTCCCATAATTATCTCAGCATCCTTTAAGAAATCAACTACAACAGTCTCTTAAAGGGGAGCAAGAGGGAAGCTTCAAACCAGAAAGAATGAACCATCTSCTTTAGCCGACAAAGTTCACCAACCAGTAAAGCGCATTGACTCACCCCCAGTGGCAGTGGCAGCATCCAATGGGTTTTGTTGCCACAACTCTGAGACCAACAACCATAAATGTGACCTCAGTGAGCAGAGTCGAAACTTAAGACGCCCACAAACATTTAAGTTGCCAAACACAAAAGAGTGACAGTGCATGAAGCCAATAAGGATGTTGACTCGTATGAGAGAAAAAAACGGTTATTAATAAGTATGAATAATGGCTTTTAGAGCTTTAGACACTAGGAACCCATTGTCCGATGGCAGTGGCTTCTCTGTCAGACCCAGGCCCATTTTTTCACACATTCACATGGTGACATCGCAGGGTACCACTATTGATGGCTGGAGTTTCTGTCATATGTCATCGAGCGCTCGTGCCAAGACGACTGCCATGGATTTGTTCAGGAGGCCTCGAACAATAAAGCACAACGTCAACAAACAGAACAGAAAACCTTTTTCACTAGCAACACAAATACAGTATAAGTTACTACTGAAGTAGTTTCCAGCCTTAAATGGACATTATACGTCTATTTACCTGATTTCTGTTTGTATCCGCATTTAATCAGTAATGATAAATACCAACCAGATGGAATAATGGTTTGAAAAGCTGCCGTTGGAGGCAGGAACTGAACACAAACAGTTCAAAAAGTGTCTCCTGTAGTATCTAAACCTGTGGTGGGTAACACTTTTACCCACAGGACCATTTTGACCCTCTTAAAGGAATCAAAGCTTTTGAAATATAACAGACACAATATACGACCATGTCTCAAACCTAAAATCACATCTTTCCACAATCTTTAGTTAGAGAAAGGTTTGTTTTGTTTACAACAACTCCGGGGCACTTCCATCAGGATTATCACAGGATACCTGGAGGGATAACGCTGAAATGTAAAAGTTGACGTTGAAGCAAAATGCTCATAAAGAAGCTTATGCCTGAAGACATGAAACTATAGAAGTGCATGTTTTAACATGATAGGGTCATGACAAAAAAACACCACTTAGTTTTTATAAATTTGGTAATAAAATATCCGGCATCTGTGGAATTTAAATCGTTATGACAGTGAATATAACTGAATAAATATCTGCTGATCATGAATGACAGCTTTTTACTCAAATCATAATAATTATCAGAAAGACGTGGCACACAGAGGATCCAGCTTTTGCCAGATGTAGAAAAGGAAAAAAGTATTTTTTTTCTGAAAGAAGTTAGACACATGTCTGGACCTTGGCACAGAACTTGTTTCTAAAAATATCCTTGTAAACACCAGGGTTCCTATAGTTTAAAGCAGTGATCCCCAAACTACGGCCCGCGGGCCGGATTCGGCCCGCCTCCCCATTTGGTCCGGCCCCCAGAACAATACCAGAGAGCATTTAGGTTTTTTTTTCATACATGTGTATTTATATTTGAGTGTAAAGTTGGACTTTTGCAATAAAATGTTCCTTAGTTATGAACTATTTTCATTATTCACTATTATTAGTTAGTAACTGTTTCATACATAAACACATATAACGTGACATTCTGTTCCACCCTTCAGCGGTATGTGCCCCTATCTGGCAACCCCCAGAAAAAAAATCCTAAACCCGCCTCTCTCAAAGAGAGAACGGAATAATGGCGAAAAGATTAGGTAAGAGAAAAATTGATTCAGAATGCAGGGCATTTAAGCTGCAGTGGACAAACGATTATTTTTTTGTTCATCTGTCAAGAGGCGGTGGTGGTATTCAAAGAATACAATCTGCGGCGACACTATGAATCCCGCCACAAAGACAAGTATGATAGCTTGTAAGGTCAAATGCGAGCAAACAAACTCTCAAAGCTAAAAAGTGGACTGTTAGCTCAGCAGAATACAAACTGTGAAGAACCCAGAGAGGGTTTTTTGATTGTGCTTTCTGGAAAACAATAAATTTTTACATTTAGGCACTCCTGTAATAGTCACACTTTTTCTGTTACAAACTGACTCCGGCCCCCCACCAGAGAAGGGAAAAGTTATGTGGCCCTTACAGGAAAAAGTTTGGGGACCCCTGGTTTAAAGCAAGTTAAATTTAAGACTTTTTAAGACTTTTTAATGCCAAGTGAAAATAAATTTAAGATCAATTTCATAATAAACACAAATGACAAAAAAATACTGGCAGAAATTCATGAATCAAAGTATTTTTGGTTGAAGTATTCAAATATTCCTAATAGACCAATTGTTTTTATCCATATCGAACTATAGCAAAAACGTTCTTAGCAGTCAGTTTTGAACTTAATTTAATTACTGGAAATTCTCTAATGACACAAAATTTGGGGTTTTAGGACCCACAATGGGGTCTCAACCCCTATTTGCTTTAGATGAAACCTTAAAGTGCCTGTGACATAACTTTTTTTGTAAGAAAAGTCAATGCATTTTTGGAAAGACAACATTATTAACATATTACAAAACAAATTTCACATTGCTCAGATGAACAATTGAGATATATRCATGTGAAATAACAGGAAGTGATGTCAAAGGGGAATGTCTGCATGTGAATATTTAAAAAAATTTACCAATTATTTTAATATTTGAGATTAATTACAATCATCCTATTTACAATGTGTTAACATTTTTAAGACTTCTGAAAGATTGATTTAAGACATTTTAAGTCTAATTAAGGCCTTATTTTTGGATTGATGAATTCAGTGACTTTTAAGACATTTTAAGGRTCTGCAGGAACCCTGAAACACAGTTTTTTTGAAATGTCTTCATCCACACTGAAACAGCAAAAATGACCCAAAAACAGGGTTATAGTCATGCCAAATGCTGTAACGCTGCCACAAAAATACAGCAAAAACAGGAAACAAGGTGTGGAGCATGCCAATAGTTATGCCTGAATTGTAAATAAAAGCAGAGGAGGAAGTCTTCAGGTGTTTGTCAGTTGAGACAAAAAAAAAAGGACACATAATTTTCAAATAACTGCGTTTTGGAGAAATTTTAGCGTTTTCAC